TAGCCGTGGAAAAAAAAAAAGCACAGCACATATTTGCTGAGCTGTGAAATGGCTTGTAAGTTTTTTTTCCCCTTTATTTTGATGGTTAAGCCTGTCATTTTGGTGGGATATGCAAACTTAGATTCATGTGCTGTGACAGAATTACTATGTTCCTGTACCGTGAAGAGTCATTTTAGGAACCAGAGGCTCTGCTTTTGGGTTTGCTCATGGTAACATCATCATCATATTTTTAAGAGTTGACCTCCTCAGATCAACCACTAGATGATGGATGCATGCTTTTATGGACAACTCTTTGAGGTTTAGTAATAGGAAAGCATGGTGGATTTTTCTATGCAAGGTTTTGAGGTGGTCTTCCAGGTTCCTGCACATATGAGGATCCATTTTGTTAGGGCTATAGTGGTCTGTGATAGTTTGAGACGGGGGGTTTTCTGCACACAGCTTGAACAACTGTCATCAGCTTGATTCAGACCCCACGTAAGACTTTTTCTCACGGCAGAGCCTCTGCACGGTCATGGCTCAAAGGCAAAGGAAGAGCAAGATGCTTCCATTGAGCCACCCCCCCCCTTCATCATATGTACTTCAGGACTCAGGACTAGCTGTCTTAATGGTTGAAGACAGTGCTAGGCTGGGGGAGTAATGATTTTAGCTTTAAACTGAATTACCAATCGATCGGCCTGCAGATCAGAACACAGCTTGCGAGCCGACAGTGTGGACACGCTGTGTTGTGGAATCGCTTTACAAATTGACTGCAGCACACATAGGAGGGAATGTATCTATATGTGTCAGCTCAGCGCTGCATGCGAAGCGGCCTGCTGGGTGTGAACAGGCCTTGTGATCACCACAGAGGCAGCCGCTGAGTGTTTATCTTGTATCGGGCTGTAAATATTTAGCGAGGAGGACCACCAGAACCATAACATAACTTTCCCTGATCCTTGACGGCGAGCGATGAAAAGGCGCTCCTCTTTGGGGGCTCCGGTCCGTTCCTCTTGGTGAGAAGCTAGAACCTGGCGCCAGGCTGAGCTCCGATGGAAATTGCATAAAATAATAGGCAGTGAGTAACAGCCGGTTGTGTAGATTGGAGTTTAAGTTTAACTGCGGTGTTTCTGCTGTCGTTTATGGAGACCACTGGAGAACGTATTAGCACGAGTGTCATGTTCCAGAGGGCAGAACTCTAGGCTGTGATTACTGGGCTCAAGCTGAACTGTAAAATCACTTGTCAGCAGTTGATTTGTTTCTGGAAAAGCCTGGCCTCTTGATTGAATTAGTTTGGTGGTTTTCAGCAGGGAGCAAGAATGTGTCCAATTGGGTTACTCGATGACAGACGGCACCGAAAATGTGACTTTTTGATCGTTCCTTTAAACCAACGAGGGCTTTGCTGGCACTTATAAAAAATCCAGTTTAGTTTGGTGCAGTTTTAATGTAAAAAACACATTGTACTGTTCCCAATTTTGTTTTATACTTTAATTATATAGAAAGAACACTTATGTGGGTTTTAGAAAATTGTTGAGCGACACGTTTTCCTCTTTATATGTACTCAGGAATGGCACAAGCTATCAGAGGCTCCTCAGACATTTTTAGTTATTTTTTTGTCCAGTTCATGTTTACTGATAGGATCTGTGTAGTTACTCCATCATATTGGGGGTGAGAAAGGGTCATGTTGGTGCAATATTGTATTTGCCCTGAGGTTAAAATAATTTTGTTTGCCGTAATAGCTGTAAAACACCTTATTTCCCACTGGACATACTTCCATACAAATGCTTCAGCAGTGGGATAGAAACTGTTTGCAGAAACATAAAGCATCAAGATGACACCGGCTGTAGTAAAAAACAAAGAAGTTTGGATGGGTCTGATGGAGACGAAAGAGGCCTCTTTTTAAAAGGCTTCAGATAAATGTGTGAATATTATTCTGTGTCAAAGGAAATGCTGTGCTTCACATCTTAAGGAAACCCTAGAAATTCATATTCCTGCCGTTCACTCCATGGTTGCTTGGCTTTTCTGTCTGCCTGCGATCATGCAGACAGTGAAGTCTTTTCACATCAGGATCAGCGCCCATGTAAGCCCTTAATTCTCTCTCTGTTAAACAGTTATTGAAGAAATGTGCTGCTGGTGCAGAAAGAGAAATAAAAACACTGAGTGCCCGGCATTTGCTTTGCCATGTAGCCATGTCTGGCTCTTAGTGGGGCTCATATTACAGAGCACCTTTAACCGTGAATTCACTCCGTTAATAAAAGCCCCCCCCAAGCCCACAGCTGTCTTAAAGCGCCCCTTTATATGCCTTCAGCTGGACTCCTTCTTGCCAGGAGAGGAAAATCAGAGTAGGCATGCGTCAGCTTGCTATGATTTTAGGAGTATTCTCTGGCAAAGAATATCAAATGATTGCACACTTTAGACTTCTGCATCTGTCACATCTCTGTCACTTGTAAAGCTTTTGCATTTCAGCGTATATGCGAGTGCTGGGCCCCTCACATAGCAGCCACAGTTCATATAGCTCGTCACATCATTTTAATTACAGAGCCTTCATTGTCTGGGCTGACCCATTTTAGCGCTCCCTTACCGTCAGCTGCGTAGTCCCTCCAATCACACTTAATTTCATCTGGCATTTGACTCAATCGGCAGTGCCGCAAACATGAGCGCCAAATCCCCCCACAACACACACACACAGACACCAGAAATGAATTGGGAATAACAATAACAATCTCCACTCCTTGCTCTGCTTGTCCACCGAGGCCTCCGGCCCACTATAGTGCAGCTTTTAATGGTGAAGATTGATATCGGTGGCAAGGGACATTTCTTAGGATGTTAGTCACAGTTCTCTGAGGAGACTTAGAACTGCTCTTAAACGACCCTTGAAACACAATAAAATATGACTCACTGAGAAAAGAGTCCAGGGAGTTTCACACCACTGATTGGCCCTTGGACTTAATGTGATTGTGTTTTCTCTCATGAAGCTCGTGTGATTCGCATCGGTGTCTGTGCTAATAATTTGTAAATTAGACATGCTTCGAAGAAAGAAGTCATCAGTTATCACCTGCCTAAACCTGTTATGATCCAGCATGGCAAGTTATTCATTCCTATGTCTGTGACTATTAATGCAGCTACACCACATAGAAAGCTTTCACAGCTCGCTCTCTTTAAAGGCAGCAGAATTTAGAATCTCTTGCTCTGTTTATTTCTGTAGTTCCCAGAAATGTGTGTTATTTACAGTGAACAGCAGTCGGCTGGCTTTTTAAATTCGTATTCACATCCATGCAGATGCAGGGACAGAGGGAAGGGAGTCAGCACTGCTTGGAACCTTATCTCCCCTCACAATCAGAGCAATGTTCTCGTACTTGAAGGGAGAGGGATATCTCTGAAACTTTAATGTATTATCTGAAAGGAGAGGGGGGACATAGTAACACTTCCAAGATAAGGCCAGCATAAGGTTAATTACTGGCTGAGTGGCTGACGTAACCTCGCCATGTCATGTCCCAAAGTTACACACAGCTGGGAAGTGGAAGAGTTCTAGTAGTTGACAGATGTGTCTTTCTGTGAGCTCCATGAGTGTGTGTGTGTGTGTGGCAAGTCTTTGTGTATGTTGAATGCTAACTATGGAAGTGTAGTTCTTGAATCAGATGACGTTTAGTTGGGAAGCTCCAGGTTAAGATGGCACCAGAGGCCTTGGCTGCTCGAACCACCTGCTTCAGCAACTGCTAGCAGAGCTTGTGGCTCCTCTCCTCATTGGTGCGTAACACTGTTAACATTGCTGCTGACTCCCCACTCACTCTCCAGGGCACAGACTAATTAATGGATACCATTCGCAGTTGATTAGCAGCAGCTCTTTCGGTAATTACATTCGCATACTAACCATTCAGAGGAAAATGAGAATTAAAAAACACACACACACAGACGCACACAAAGGGCTCGGAAATATATTAATGCACTTCTCGGTTTATTGTGATCTTAATTTGTTTCCTCTTTTGTTTGGTCTATTCGCCGATAAGAAGCGTCCCATCTTTCAAGCACTCCGTCTATTGGAGTTTTTCATCACTCATGGTGTTTTAAGAGAGAGACTTTGTAATAAATGCACAAAAGAGATTACTGCAGAGCTTTGTTGGAAACGGGTAGAGTTCTCAGCGGAACCTCATGAAGACGCAAACACACCGTGATTCTTTCTCCTCTGAGTTGTGTAGGCTGGGTTTTGCTCTCTTCACTCACACAGAGGTGCATTGTGCTCCTGGGCCCAGCTGCTAGCCCATAATTCTTCATTGTACGTCCCATTGTTCCTACCTGTCAGTGTGGTTGTGTCTTAGAAGAAAGGAAGTGGCTGCCATTTTGCCAGCAGGCTGTGTGGGTAGGGAGAGATGGGGACATGTTGTGAAAACACTTTTTTCTTTTTTCAAAGCAAAGTACAGGGTTTTAATAGCTTATCACCTGCCTTAAATACCACTATGTCTTTACAGAGTGGCACTAAGAAATTCTCCAATGCAAGCTTTGTTTTTCCCTCCTCAGTCATGTGATACATGTATTTCAGCAGACCACAATATTCCATTGCAGTAAAACAAGCAAAATTGGACTTGTACAAGCTCTCATTGAACCACATGTACTCTGCCCACATTTAAAACACCCTCCACCTCCTTATTTCCCCCAGTATCACTCCGTTCCCATAGGTTATTTGAAGTTAATAACCTGCCACTGCATACTGATACTTGGCTTTGTGATGCAAACATGTCCTTAATTGCCATCCCATAAGAGGTGAATAGCCAGAGCAGATTCTCATTACTGGGGTTTGAATTGTTTGGGCTCTCACACGCCTCACATCATGTAGCAATAATGGCAGAGTGGTAGAATACAACCGTGCATGTAGAGTAAAGGGTTAACTCAGTGTGCAAACATTCCCATCCATGTGTTCCCACCCGTTTGAGTGACATGTGTCTCTGAAAAAGGGGAACTGCTCATGTTACGCTGTATGTTATCCGAGCAGTTGTGGGCTGATGCTGTATGTTTTTTGTCTTCATTTGCAGTTCCAGAATAACAACAACTACATGAACATGGCCGAGGCGAATGGCGCCCTACTCGCTGCTGGGGATGTAAGTAGAGCTGTGTTTTTTTGTTTTTTCCATATTCAAATTTCATTTGAAAAAAGGACAGCCGGTGTAGTGAAACATAAATTGTTATAGGACTCAGATTCTGAGTTTTACTATGTTATATTATTTTTTGTAAAGGTCTGATGAATATTTCTACTCAAATGTTGAGCATCCTTGAAGCTTTTTTATATAAAGGCTGTAGAAACCCAAGTAGCTTAGTGCTCATTCCTGCTTATTGTTTGAAATAAACTTTCCAGTTGACATTTTTTGAGTTGGAAAAAAAACTTTATCCTATTACTATCAAATGAAATGATCCCAGACACAGTATTAGACCTTCTGAATTTTACCGGTGAACTCTGTGCCGAGCCCAATGAAGAAGCTGCCTGTTTCCGCACATGCAGGAGTTGAAGCAGAAAAAAAACACCAGTATGTAGCAGGGTATAATTACTAACAGTCCAAACCTGCGCAAAAAGAAGAAAAGTTCTGCTGTACTGCTTGAAAATAAAAGGAATGAAAAAACTGTGGTTCATTTGTTATATTAAGGGCCTTTTTATTCATGACTTTACAAGTGTGTGTTTAAGTGGCTCGACAAACAACGAAACTCCTCTGAAAGCAGAACAGAGTTTCTGGATATGAGTTGAATAAAGCTGCCAAGGTCCAAAGAAAACCTTCTGAAAGATCGTTAGAAAGATGGAGAGCAAGAATTACAAATAAAATCTGTCTTCTTGCAGGTGGAAAATAAATAAAGATGTCTGCACACTACTTTATATATAGTAAGAAATAGTGACAGCAATTACTTAGTATTTCTTTGTTTCTGGCAGCATCTTTCTACTGCCTAAATCTTCCTTTTTGTCCAAAACCCACATACAAGTTTACAGATATGAGAAGATAAGCTTGACCCACCCTATAGTGTTACACAGTACGTTCAAAGAGCTGAACTCAATGAGATCTGCTCCAGCATATTAGGTTAGATAAGGTGATATCTCAGAAAGATGGGGATATAAACTGTCCTTTTCTCCCTTTTTTAAAGACATAATGAAGGAGCATAAAGATATTCCACAGTTGGGTCTGCTGTTGCTTACAAAATGCAGAATGTCTGCAACAGATTTAGCTGTGCAACTGCATAAATAACCATGTTTAGTTATTAAACGAAAGAAGGGAGCTCTTGTTCCTCTGGCTTTATATGACTGTTTTGTAAGCCGTAGTAGTTTTAACACTGAGCTAAATTTACCAGTTTCACTTTATTCCCCCTCCACCCACTCTGCTGCCCTGTCATTAGAGGAAAGTGTACCAAAAATACCAGTCATCCTCTGCGGTTCCAGCCGTCCAATCTCATTCAGAGATTGATCTTGCTTCAGAACCCGCAGCAAAGCATCATGTCACAGTCTCAAAACACTGGGATAGATGTCATTGTTAACCCCACTGTTTTTCATTCATGTCAGCCGGGCGGCAGGGGTGCAACTGTGACATACAAACTCCGGCAGATGCACGCCAGAGCGTGGAGCGCGTGACCTTGTGTTCATAAAGTGGCCGCCGCACAAAGCCGCAGAGTATCACAGAAGACGTCTAATTTTCCCCCACATTTACAGCGAGTGGGCGCATCCTCCGCTGAGGCCCACTGCGGCAGGGACTGCATCCACACAGGCTGCTTGGAGAGCGTTCAGCCCCCAGCTGTGAGGGCCCACTGTGGCAGTAAGGGAAAGCAGGGAGGAGGGGGACGGGGGGGGGGCGACTCCTTGATAAAAACGGTCCAGCTCATTTGCATTTAATCAAAAGGAACAACTGTTTCCAGTGTTAGGGCACAGATGGCATTGTGCTTAAAAGAGAAAAAAGGAAGAAAGGGAAAAAAAGAAAGCGAGGCATAAGAAGTCTTTTCATGTATTGGAGTGTCCAGAGTATTATTTGCTGCTGTTCAGGCTAAAGTGAGAATAAAGTGACTTCCTCTAAGAGTCGTAAGGTTTCACGCCGCATACATCTACTGAATGGCTCATGTTGTGGCGCATAAAACGGAGTCTCCTTTATGCGGTTTTTGCGATGAACTGCACACCTTTAGCAGGAAGTTCAGAATAAATCCACCCCTTTTAATGTTTCCAAATCCGACATTTCCATTATGTGGAAAGGGTTAGTTAGCTGCCATACATACTGGAGATTAGCTGTCTACAAATGGCTGACAGCCAAACATACCTGTTTACATCCACGGTGAGTAAATACCGCAGAGTATATGTAGCCCAGACCAAATGCTTCTACCTTAGAGGAGCAGAACTTCATTTGCTGTATTTAGATGGCTTATGTATCATTCACCTTATGCACTTAGAAGATGAGATACGATGACCTTGGTGTGCCCCCCGATGCACAAACAGGGAAAGCTTGACTAGCTCCCTTCAGGGTAAAGGATACTGTACACTGAGATTGTGTTCCACTCAGATGTATCACTTTACTCTCCCAATCAAATTAGAGTCATGTAATGAGCTATAAATATGTAGAAATGGACTACAAATGATCCAAATTTGAAATAATGCTGATTAGGGTTGATGTTGTTATTTGAGTAGCTGCACTCCGCCTGTCTAGATATTTGAAACTGAATCCTCAATCCAGCCTCTATTGATTCTGAGGCCTATTATTTGCAGTAATTGCATGCTGCTGCCTTTAACAAGTCTTGGTTATTGCATCTGTGAATTGCATTACTGCGTTTATAGAGGCACTGGGACTTTTGCCTGAAAAGCTTTTTTCTTGCTCTTTTGTCTTGGTATTGAAAAAGCGTCATGGCACCACAAAGATAAAGCAGTGGACGGTACAGTTCACCACGCTGTCTTTCCTTGTTTCTGTTATTGTAAAAAATATTCAGTTGGAGTGATATATGTTTTTATAAAACGGCAGTATACTTTTACTTAAAAAAAAAAAAAAGGTTTATGTTAAATCCTGTGCTTATCTGTCACTGAGTCCATAGAAATCAGTGGTCACCGTCAATCTATGCATCTAAATTATTTACATGATCTCATCATCCTATGAAATATTTCAGTGTTTTCTGAATGGAATGCCCAGAAATATTGTCTCAATGTTTCCACCTTTTTTTTCTGTATGTAATTACGAGTTGTCATTTCTGTTGATTTAGTAAATAATGCGTGAAACTAATCCTTTGAGATTCTACAGTATTTGTGTGGCCTTTTAACCACTGCGTGTAAGTTCTGTTGATCCACAAGCTAGTATTATGTCAAAAGCTGAACCTCCTTTTTGTCTTGGTCCAGCTGAAGTTAAACAATTACAGCGTTTTCCAAATACGTACACGGGGATATGATCTCCGTGGATTTGTAGTACAGTGAAAGCATGCCGGGCCATATTTACCAGCAGCAGGCTATAAGACTGTGTGATTTCCCACACACCTGCTCAGGAAGCTCTTTCTGGAGAAGCCAGGTCTCTCTGTCACAAGCCGTGTTCAGACCTCATGCCACTGAACTCTTTGGCTAGAAGTGGTAGTGTACACATACACTCTACCTCTCTCTTATCTGTTGTGTTGTCCCTGGCTCACCCCTTAACATGTACATGCCTGCACATCTTGAGCCAGCATCTGGCTTGGCACTTGGCTCTGCTGAGCCCTTTCAGAACAATTTAAAGGGATAATCAGCCTAGTGATGCAAAGAAAGTGGATTGTGCATCTCTTAATCTCCAAACAGAGCCCCTTAAGCTGCTCCTGGTGCAGAATTAGACTGGCTTTATGTGAAATGACACCAGACAGTGTGCAACACTGTAACACTCTGTGGGCTCTAGTAAAATCTGGCACCTCCTCCCTGGGGAGAAGGTCTTCTCTACACAGACAGCTCACATCCTCCTTAACCTCCCATATGAGACACAAACTCCATGTCTCCATTATCTGCGCTCCTTGTGCAGATGTTAATTTGCATCATCATTAACAATGAAATGTAAAGCACACAAGCACAGTCTTTGATACTGATTACACCATCCCGCTGTAATATTTAGTCTCCCTACCCTCCACTTCCACCCTGTTTAGCAGACGGTGAGGACCAGCATCACTCTACATCGAGCACATCTGTGCTTCACTTAAAGGTCGCAGTTATGCTTTTGCTGAAACAGGGGTGACCTCAACCAACGTTCATTCTCAGCATTTGTCTCAAATCTCTTTAGTTATTTCCACGATTCAGGCCACAATGCACGAGAACAGAAGCTCCAGCAACCTTTATAGACCTGCCTTTTTTTACCTTACGCAGTGTAACGCCACAGGGATCCAGCTCACTTCAGCAGAATGTTTTTGTTGCTGAGTAAAAGCACAGGTACGTCAGTGATGTTTCATTCTTGCCAGAGTTTACGGTGCCAAATGATCACGGCTGGAGCCATGTAGCTAACCGTGGTAGGCACAGTAAGGTGGACACAGGGCAGTTGGGGTGATGTTGGGCCCGTTGGGGTGATGGTAATAGTTTGCTGGTGTCTTTAGGTCGCTGCTTATTATGACCGAGATGAGAACGGGGGTTGAAGATGCCCTTGCTCCAAAGAAGAAGCTGAAAAAGACAAAGACTGGGATGAAGGATGATCTCTGATCCTTTCCATGTGCTACTGGAATTTTTTGATGACTCGTGAGAGTTGCTTTGCGAATGCTGCTGAACAGAGTTTAAACCTTGTGTTTTTATTTTTTCCTTCTTTTGAGCGGACTGAAGCATAATCACATCAGAGGAATTATTTTTTAGCTGTTACTTGTGAAGGTTATATATCTTGCTCTAAGCCAAGAGCCTGAACTGTTCAGAATATCGACTACACTCCCTTTATATAGAACACTGGTTCTATATAGGTGAAAATACTTCAAAGGAAAAAAAGAACAGTGTTTGGGAAGTAAGAGTAGAGAAAGGATGGGGAGAAAGGACAGAGAAAGAAACTGTTATTAGCTTTGCCTGCCACCGGAATTCATCAGTGCTTGTCAAGACAGCTGCCCTGAGTAGGCAATGAATTAGTTTCAAGTGTCTGTGTGCTAAAGCAAGCCAGAGGAACATTAATACTCCCTAATCAAGGTCTGCGGTGGCATATTCCCTTCATTGTCTCCCTTGTGTTATTCCATCTCTTCACAGAGATGGGGTAGTTAGTGGTGTTGTTGAGTTAGCTCTGCTGACAGATCTCGGGTCCGTTGATATCAGGTTTCTTAGGTGTTTCCAGGTGACACCTTCACTCAGCAGGGGCACGGGCCTCGTTTCTATTTACACCATGCTGGAAGCACAACGCACAGCACGCCACTTTACACGCAGTGCTGTTAATCAGGTGGTAAGAGAGTGATGAAGAAATGACAGAGGAGAAAAAAAGTACAAATCAACCAGAATCAGTTTGCGTTGTTCTGCTCAATATGCCGATAAACATTTCCCTTTGAGCTGGGACTCAAACCTGATTTCAGCACAGTGGCATTAAGTGTTGGGAAGTGTTGAGTGTTGGGCTTTGAAGAGGCTTTCGGTACCCTAACCTCAGCAGTTAAACCCAGGACCTCAGATCCGTGTCGTTTCCCTCGCCTGGACCTGCGGTGTGGTCATTGTGAGAATGAATATTTTTGGCTCTCCGGAGAGTAGCTTAATGCAATGTGCTGATGAAAACAAGACCCAAGTAGGTGAACAGTCCCATCTACAAGAAGGCACATAAGTAAATTAAGTGTGACCAAAAGCTTTAATTCGAAAGGCAGAAGGATTAGACTGTTTGATGAGCAGATTTAAGGGTGCTGGCGAGGGGAACAAAAAGGAACACTTCTAGCCAAGCGTAATAATCTTTAAAATTTTTCTTTAAACCCATCTCCCTGTGACATGTATTTTCACTGCGCTTCAACCCAACATCTTCCATCCCCAAGATTAAGGGCTTTTATCATGTATCCTCTCCCTCCCGTGATTGCTGCTTGATATTTTTGCTTTTGACGTCTTCCTCCTAACTCGCCTTCCCTTTCTTTTTCCTCCCCCTTAAAGTGGACTTTAGATGGTTCAAGAAATGTTACATCTTAGTGCACTTACAGACAAGTGTATTACCACTCCACTAAAACACTCTCTCTTAAGCAAGGCTGTCTGATCTAATCCCAGAAGGTTTACTTCCAGAGTTTTAAATAAAGCTCACCTGAGTAAATGATGTTTAGGGTTTGGGAATTTCATTTTTTCCATTTGAATTTTAAAGTATTCCCTCTTTGTTTTTCTTCGCTTGCAGACTTTCCACACACCCAGCCTGGGGGACGAGGAGTTTGAGATCCCCCCCATCACACCACCTCCTGAGACAGAGCCCGGTCTGGGACCAGAAGTGGACTCGCCATACCCGGCAATGCCAGAGCCCCCAGCTCCACACAGGGGTCCCATAATCCCCCAGTTCCCCCCACAGAGCCTGGATCTGCCCTCGATTACCATCTCACGCAACATGATGGACCAAGAAGGGGTGTCTGTCAACAATGGCCAGCCTGTGGTAAGCACCACTATGCCTGTTTAAATCAAAAACTCTATTCATTCTGGCCCTCATTTGTCTCTGAGTTCCTGTTACAGAGCTGCTCTCTCATGCAGCTGCTGCTCCAAATGAGGTTTGTAATGACACAAACGGAAAAATATGATTTAGAGGCCTGTTCCATTGGAAAGCAGTGATTTTTTTTCTTAAAATCAGTCTTTTTTCAGAACCACAGTGTCACCTTCACCGTTTCTGTACACCTCCCGTTGTCATTACATCTGGCACAGCATCTGGCCTTGTTTACAACCCAAGATGTATATTATTACTTTGAGGAAATGTCATCATACTATGTTACTCACTGTGGGGGACGTTGGGGGTGGTGGTGCGCGTTCACCCAGGAGGTGGATGAATGGCCTCTGTAAGGTGAACAGATGTAAAGAGATCACAGGTGCGCTGCACAGTCATCCCCAGAAGGACAGAGGAAATGGCACCCAAAAGTGCCACACTTTCACGTGCTCATATTTAATTCATGTTCCCTCTCCAAGCCTTTTTTTCCCCCCCTGCTGTAAATGCTGACCCATGCACCAGCACACCGTCGCGTGAGGTCTTTAAAAGTGACGCATAACGTGTGAGAAGTGTAGGTGGTTTGAACCTGTCTCAGCCCAGCCCTCCCTTTAAGCCATAAAACGTAGAAAGCGCACAGTAGAAATAATCACTTGGTTAATGTTGATATTGGACTAGAGATTGTGAGATTGTTGTCTCAGGGAGGAAAGGCATTTTCAAATGCCACGATCATGGAAGCACTGAGGAGGAAAAATGAAAATGTCACTGGCTGACTAGTTGTCTCACAGACCTATTACAAAAATGGAAGATTCATTAGGAGAGAAGAAATAAAAGGACAAAGGCATGATGATGATACTGATGCTGCATTTGCTCTGTGAGCCATAAATCACATTATGTTGAGAATAGGTGCCATTATCATTAGAGCTGTATGAATAAGTGAAATGTGTCCCCCTCCCCCTACCCTCTCACTGACACGTTGGCTGAATCACACTGATATTACAGATATTTATTTACATTCCATACGGGAAGGGGGCTATAAAATTTAACAGCTCTGCTTTAACGCTTCCAAGCTTCTGGCAAATAAAATAATTGCACCTTTTAAAACATCCCTGCCACATACAGTAAGTGAGCCTCAGAAAGCTTTGTGCCTAAAGAATTTTCATTTCATGGTCAGTTAAGCTTTCTGCATCTGGAAGAAACAGAACCTTGACACAATTACATTCCTGACTGTTCTCGCGATTTGCTGGAGGATTAGATTTGATTCTCAAACATTATTCCTCTTTAACACCATTTGCATGGCTCATGTCTCTGATTGTGCAGAGACTCTATTAAAAACTAAGGGGAGACTGTAGCTCTCTGCTCTTTGCCTGGTGGCATTGTCGCCGGCACACCACTCACTCGTTATCAGTCATCGCACATTGTAGCACAGGCAGGAAGGCTTGTGGTGACCCTTCATTTTTCCTGCAAATGGGATTGATCCCCAAAAGTCTTGTGACAATGGCTATAGAAACTCTATTCATCTGTGGTTTTATCTTTGCTTTGAGAGAAAGAACGTAACTTCTAAATGAGATAAGTACCAACTCCGTTTGCAGTGTACTCCTATACACTGAGACAATGATTTACGAAGGCCCTGAGAGGGGTGTTTTGTCATTTTGTCAGCACACTGATAAAGCAATGACAACCTTATATACATGATTACATTCTGTGTTATTTGTTATGGCTGCAGGGGCAAACAATAAACCGTGCACTCTTGCAATTACATTTTTCATCAAGCCAACATGCTCATATATCCCAACACTTGTTTTGGTTTTCCTCTGTGCTGGCGTGCTCGCGTAGAATGCCTAGTGTGTGAAAGCCAGTATCTTATCACAGCTTAATGAGAAACCCAACCAGTGAATATACCTGGGCTATTTTCAAAAGCTTCTTCCATGTCACTGCATTGCCAAATGTTCAGCTAATTCCTCTCTGCCGTAATGTTCAGCGTATGTCTTGCAAATTGGCCACAGATGCCAGGCTTCTACAAAGAGAAATACATTTTCTCAGCTGCAATGTGCCTGGCAAAGCCTGAATCTGAAGTCATTATTTATTTAATCTGCTCTCCTAACAAGCTTCTGACTCTCATTTTTGTCTCCCAGCATGTGTCCTCCTGATTTGTGATTGAGTCTCAATAGTGCCAAATAGTACTGGAGTTAGAGCTGCCAGTATTGCTTTATTCACAATTCCTTCTCGATTTTCTCCCTGCTGCACAGCAAGGGTCTGTGGGTTCCATTTCGAAAAACACCTGGTGCCTTCACCACATTTTAGGTTTTTCTTGACACGTGTAAGCATGTGTTGAAATGGGCTCTGTGTCCTCTGTGATTGGATTCGAAGCCTACAGTAGTCAACTGGTTGTATTGGATGTTAAAATCAATATTCAGGAGACATGAGCACCACCGTCTTATTACATTTAGCACTTTGTGGTGACGAGTAATATATTTTTCATTACCAAGTAGCTGTTTCACATGCCATTAGCTTTAAAGCTGCAAATATGCTAATATGTGTTAGGACTGCATCTGTGCCACGGACATTATGCACGCTGAAAAAGCCATTTGTAGTTTGTTGTCCACATTTAATATACCTCGATCCTGTGCAGATTTCCTTTGAGTACAATACATTCAGTTTTGACTGGTCAAAGCCAACTATGTCCTGAATAAATGGAAAATGGGAGCACTGTTGCAGAAAGCATGTTTTTCTACACATCCCTCTTATCTCCCTTTCAAGCCAAGAAGCTCTGACATGAGTTGTACATCAATTTAAGAGAGTGGATTTTTTTTTCTTTCCTTGGTTTCTCCGCACCCACCCCCACCCGCAGCCCCTTCTTTTCTCTCTGCACAGACAGCTATTGTGACATATTGGGTCGGTCAGAAATGAGAGATATTCATGCAGGCATGCAATACTTGTAATGAAGTCTCAGCTTGACCTTCTGCATGATTGATTCTGTAATTTACTTTTCTTGTATGGCTCTCAAACTGAAATGATGTCATGTTGGACAAGTTTTAAATACATATAATGCATCAGGAGAAATGGCATGGAGGGGTCTGGGTCAGCGGCTGTACCAGACCAAGGGGAGGGAATGTGTTGGGCCCCAGAGTACGAGGGGGAGGAGGAGAAAGATGAAGATTTGTTTTTAAGTGGGGGTTAGAGGTTGGCCAGATAGATGGACTGAGTGTGCACACCACTAAGAGAGAAAGAGAGCAAAGTGTGTTTGACTGAGACAGGGCAGGGGGAAGAAAAACAATTTATCTTCATGCTATTATAGCCTTTACCAGCATTCAGAATTCCATTTTTCTCATTTGGCTTAAGCACAGACTTCAGCAGGTTACTGAAAATGGAAGAAAAAAAAAAAACCTAAAATGATGTACCCGTTTGGAGGCCGAGTAAAGGAATATGTGCAGAGCACTGATAAACTATCTTTAATAGGACTGACCTTTCATGCTGGCGAAAGTTACTGGGGGATTCATCCTTATAATTACCATATAGATGATTTTACCCCTCTCCTGCCATGGAACATTTCCAAGAGCTTCGGCATTGATTGAATGGAAATTGAACTTGTTAACATTCTTTTCAGCCTGTTACAGCTTGGTGCAACTGTTCATAAATTCTCTCCAAATTCTGATTTCCAATATCTTAAAGAACAGACTGGGGGCTGTTTTCATTGACATCGCTGGTAAGATTTTATCACTTGATGAATGCATAATGTTGCATTGGGGCCCCGCTGCCATGTTTATTGGCCTATGTTTATTTTGGAAAGGGGTTAACATAATGCCAATGTTATGTGTGTATATTTTTCCTTTTGTATGGATTGTTCGCTGTGTCAGGAGTCGCTGAGGCCAGCGTTAATGTACAAACCACACAACAAGCTATTTCTTTCTTTTGCGCAAGGTATTGTTGGCCCCATTAAGTTGCCGATTTATATTACAGCTTTAAAAAATGGAGAGTATTTACAATTGGAATCTGCGTTTGAAACCCTTTTAATGATCAAAAAGTCAATTTCCGCGCATACACACTTAAAAATCTGACAAAAGAGGGCACATCTGGTCACTGTGTGCTGAAGATAAAGACTTATTTGCAGATTCATGATGACTATCAAAGTATGCTGGATGTCTGTGACTGCTGGCAAGACTGCAATCAAAATGCAAATGAGGTGGCAGAGGGGCAGAAGTAAACATCCAAATATCAGATTCATATTCACAATCAAAACATCTGTTACTTAATATCATTTAGTTGACGGGCTTGTCAATAGCTGCTATGTTTTCCATTCAAATCAGGCGTGCGGGAGCCGACACGGCTGTTGCTGCTCTTTTCCAGCATAAGCCTCTAACGGCTGAATTACGGCTGTGTCTAAAAAAACATTTTATACAGCACGATGCTGAATGTGATTGAGCCAAGTGTCAAACTGTGGTCAGTGATACATGTTGTGTAAAATGCACAACATTCCAATCCATTTGGAAGAAGTCGCCACATTCCAAACTAATGCCAGAGCCAGCCGCTCTGCTCCAAGTAAGAGGCGCTCCGTAATGATTGGGCAAAAGTGTTATGACTGTACACAGATGGCCACGTCTAATGAGCTCAATGTGTTCATCTTTGATGTTCACAGCAAGCAAAAAGCAAATGGCAGGCCATCGTGTTCCCTGTAATGACAATGACAATGGCTCTTGGAACATGACGCCTCGCTGAAATGTAAATCAGTCATGTGGTCGCGGGCCTGTTTATTGCAGCTTTTATTGGCAACATTCCCATATTTGAAGAATACGAAGAGCGTTTCTTCTGTTTCTTTTCCCCAACTTTGTCTTACCTTCTGCAGAGACCTGCTTGCACATGTAAATATAAATCTACTCCCACTTGGTAGATTGTATTTATGATAAGCAGGAGACATGGCATATGAGAAAGAAATGGATTGGAGATCCAATATGCGCCTGTCTGAAATAGTGTTACAATATTGTTTTTGAAGACGGGCATTCATAAGGTTCTTTCAATAAAGCCAGGTGCATGGGTTTATGATGTGTTGATGTTGGGAGAGATTGAGTTTGTGCTGCTGAATACCAGATGGATTTACCCAGGGAGAACAAATCACCTTTTCTGTTCTGTTCACGTCCCCTTCTCCGCTCCATGTCAGCTCCGCTGGCTCTCTGATCAGTCTTCCCTCTGGAGAGCCGACAGACCTTGTAATTTCATCCTCGCCACAATCAATGCAAACATGTTGCCTGTAACTTCTTTAAGGCTCTTTCAACGGCTAAATGTTGTATTTGGGAGAAAAAGCAAAAGAGACTTTGAGAATAGTATTACATTAAACTCCGGTAGAGCGGGCGGGCTCTGCCCACAGCTCTTAAGCTACACGCCTTTTGAGACTTGATTTATGGAGTTGATTGTGCCCAAGTCTTTTTTCCACTCTTTTACAGTCAAACATGAAGCATTAAAGCTGCCTCTTTCACAGAGCTGCAACCTTAAATAAAAAATACAGGTTGTCTTAAACTAGACCGACATGTAGGAGCGTGCACATGGACTGGCTTTGGTGTTGAAATCATAAGCCACTGCTCCCCTGGTCAGTCTAACCCCTGTCACAGCATATACCTTAGGGCATCACTTAGCCTGAAGTCTGTTAGGTGGAAAAAATGACAAACAATCTTGGCTTTTGTGTCAATTTTCTTCTAGAATGTTGGACCGGGACACCTACGTCAGTACCAGTCCAACCCATCCATGGTGATGAAGTCCATCATAAGCATGAACAACCCCAACGGTATGATGGCCCGGAATCAGCTAACCACTATCAACCAATCCCAGCTCAGCACACAGCTGAGCTTAAACATGGCGGGATCCAACATTGCCCACACTTCCCCCTCACCACCTGCCAGCAAGTCTGCTACACCTTCCCCTTCCAGCTCTATCAATGAGGATGACCAGGACGACGGCAACAGGGTGAGCCAAGAGTCTGGGGACGTACAGCTGGTTTTACTGAGGCATTGTCAGAGAGTGAGTTTCTTTTAACATCTCTCGTCATTTCAGGTCATCGGGGAGAAGCGACCAGCCCCAATAGATCCCGCAAAGAAGCCCAAGACTCCCAAAAAGAAAAAGAAGAAGGATCCCAATGAGCCCCAAAAGCCAGTGTCCGCCTATGCCCTGTTCTTCAGAGACACCCAGGCTGCTATCAAGGGTCAGAACCCCAACGCCACCTTTGGAGAAGTGTCCAAGATTGTGGCTTCCATGTGGGATGGCCTGGGAGAAGAACAAAAACAGGTAAAAATAAAAGGAAAAAAAGAATGCTGGTCAGAAATATTTGAGGATTAAAGCAGAAACGAATGCAACATATCTAAGCTGCCATCAGAAATGGCTATTTTTAAGGTAACATTACCTGTCAGCTGAAATATTTCCATGTCTTTGCAGGTTTATAAAAGCAAAACAGAAGCCGCCAAGAAAGAATATTTGAAAGCCCTTGCTGCATACCGTGCTAGTCTGGTTTCCAAGGTGAGAAACTGCCACCTCTTTTCACCTGGATAATGTGTGAAAAGAGCTTTATTACTGTGAATTCTTTGGGCTCTGAAGTTGTTGAGGAGCTATAATCATAAAAAAAGGAATTGCCAGTCCAGATAATGCTGAATTTACACGTTTTAGGGAAAGGAAATTCTTCAGAAAAGAAGATTTTGGCATAGTGAACATTTTTTCTCTTTCTGCAGGCTGCGGCAGAATCGGCCGAGGCTCAGACTATCCGGACGGTGCAGCAGACCCTGGCCTCCACCAGCCTGTCCCCTGGCCTGGTGCTACCTTCTCCCCTCAACCAGCACCCATCCATGCCATCGGCCTCCCAGGCCCTGCAGCAAGCCCTGCCGCGGGCCATCGCCCCCAAACCTCTGCAGATGAGACTAGGAGGCAGCCAGATCGTGACCTCGGTGACAGTTTCCCACCCGAACATGTCCTCCGGGATGCCGCAGCAGCTGCTCGGCCAGATGGGTTCCGGAGGGTCCATGGTGTCGGGCGCCCAGTCCGCGGCGGCGTCTCAGATGAGCCCTCCCATGCAGCCGGTGCAGCAGCACGCCATGCAGCAGCTCCAGCAGCAGCAGCAGCAGATGCAGCAGCACCTGCAGCACCACCAGATGCAGCAGCAGCAGATGCACCACCAGCAGATTCAGCAGCAGATGCAGCATCAGCATTTCCAGCACCACCTCCAGCAGCAGCTGCAGCAGCACCACCTGCAGCAGCAGCAGCAGCAGCAGCAGCACATGCAGCTGCAGCACATGCAGATGCAGCACCAGCTGCACCAGCAGCAGATCCAGCACCTCCAGCAGCACCAGGCCCAGTGTTCCCCCCCGCAGCACTCTCCCGGCACGCCCCACTCAGTGGGAGGCTCCGCATCTCTGGGCAGCCCCCAGCCAGCACCCCAGCAGCAGCCGCACCCCTCCCAGATCCAGGCCCACGCCCAGGTCCTGTCCCAGGTCAGCATTTACTGAGCCAAAACGGAAGTCCTATCTCAAAGAACAGGAGTAGAATAAAAGCGTCATCGCTTTTCTAAGTTGCACTTAAGAAGTGTGTAAAATTTAGAATGTTATTCAAAGAACATGTCCATTGTTGTAGACAGAAATGCACATACATGTACAGGGGGAACACGTTAGCTGGGGGGGGTGTCCTTAGAGCAGGCGGAGCTCTGACAGAAACCTGCTGGGCTGAGCGCCCAATGATTGATTGTTTGTTTGTGAGGTCTCTCTTTTGTTAATTTTATCTGACTGGGCGTACAGTGTGCTGAAAGACGTGAGTCTTTCACCTTTTTTTTTATTTAAGAATAAAGCTTTATTTATGAGGCCAGAGTTGTCGGTCCAGTGCAGAGTAAGGACTTATGGAAGGCCCTCCAACAAAAGCGTTTTCATCTCCCCTTGCCTGCATTGAATGACTCGCAGGATCCTCGTTAGAAACCAGTACACCACACATCAGTCTTTGTTTCCACACTGGCCAGTATATAGCAGACTTTCTTTGCTCCATCATCGTTGCAGATGTAACTGTTTGAATCATCACACGGTGGAGGCCCAGGCAGTTGAACCTTGTCACAGATGCTTTGAAGAGCGAGGAGGACTGGAAAATGAAAAAGGTCTTTGGATGCATTTCTGTGGATGAATGAGTGAACAGACGTAGACAGAAACTGCCATAAATCATTCATGTCATCGCATCGTCAAACTTTAGCTGTAATCTGCTGTACATGTTTCGTAGACCGGGGAGCCACGAGGTCTCCTTTATCCACAATCAACCCTCCAGATGATTTGCCCAAAAGTTACCCAAGAAAAAAAGGTTCTTCTTTAATCTATTTGTTCTTATGTCAGATGTTTAACGATTAAATTATGTTTTTATTTTGTGTAACAAAGGGGGATATTTTATGGTAAATACAAATTTCTGGATCAGGGCAGATGCTTTGGGGATTGATGTATTTTTACTCTGCTCCTTGATACTGTCGTTGTTTTAAAAAAAAAAAAAAAAGAAAGAAGACTAGCAGAGCCAGTTTGTTGCACTGCCAAAGCCAACTTAAAAAGGCATCGGAGGTATTTTTGCCAGCTGTACAGAAGTCCCTGGGGAAAAAAAACAACAAAACAACAACAAATGCGAGAAAATGTTGTACATTTTTCATATCACCTGTTGTAAAGTTTTAATATGTGAGGCTTTAATTAAAACGTTGTTAAACGACCTGTGGATTGATATATCACATAGTGCATTTCTGCTCTTTTATACTTTTTTATGAGTTACAATAACAAGCAATTCATTTTGTTTGTATTTTGCTTTACAAACCAACTGCATCTGAAAACTGTCAGTAGCATAAATGCATATCGGTATGGAGATCACGGTAGGAAACATAACTTAATGTTTGGGGTGTTTTTGCTCAGCCATGAAGACAAATCCTGAGACATTCCATCACTAATATGATCGTAGCCATAATTTTGTATGAAGTATTATATATTTCTTTGTGTCTCTGTTCAGAATTAAACTACCAGTCGCAAATATTTATTTGGAGGAATCAGTTTCTTTGAACAGTTATATTAACCATAATCTCTGTGAGGTATTTTTTCACATCTCCTTGTTAGCTGTAGAAAAGAAACACACAGTTCTTTACGAGGTATGAAAAGATAACTTTGTATGTTTTCTATTGAGTCAATCTATATGAGAGAGAGGGAAAAAAAACACTTTGCAGGGATATTTGAGAATCCATGTTGGCTTTATCGTAGTGTGTGCTGTTTCTCGGTGATTTGAATGGAAGTCCATTGTAACTGTGTGTAAAAACAGTGTTGATACTGGACAAGGTCAGCATGTAACTGGTACTTGTCTCAATAACAGTCCCCTTCTCACACACCAGTGCATTGGATTCTGCCTCTTTCTTCCTCCCTTCAAAATCGCTTCATTTCCAAGACGTCCCCAGGGCTTTGCAGAGCTCCCTTGAATAATATGGAGAGCGGGGGAGGGAAGGCAGGCAAACAATAATTATCATATCTTCACAATAGGCTGTGAATCCACTGGCCCAAAGAAAGACCTTTTTTTTCTTTTTCTTTTAATCCTCTCACTCCAAAGTCCCTGGAAACATGTAAAAATCATGGTTGATGTTAGTTACAAACTGAAAGAGTGAATTTGCTCCTGCAATAGCTGTATGATCCCACATTAATTATAAAAAAAACACGGTTAGTTTTAGGACAGCTTTTACAATTTGGATTGGAGGCCTGACTCCTCAGTGATTGGCTCCTCAGCCCTGGACGGAGGTGATGCCCATTCTCTACCGTGATTAATTGCAGCATCTGTCCTGTCGGGGTCCCGAGTGAAGAGGTCTGCAGGAAAACTGCAAATAGGCATTGGCAACAGTCTTAAAGTGCTTATGATGAAATGAAAATTAAAAACAGCAAGTGCCTTGCATGACCTGAATCCCAATAAAGGTGGGAGAGGGGGGAGAACGTGAGAGTGGGTGTCCATGGATACCAAACACATGCTTTAAAAACACACAGTAATGAGGTTCTGGGAAATCGCTGTTATTATTCTGAACAGATTCACAGCAGAGCCCATTAATAATGCATGGAGCTCCTTGTTATTCCATAACCCCTCAGTAGTGTGGTCACTGTGTGTACAAATATCTCACAGCCAGGGTTGGAGTTATGGGACTGTGCAATAAAAAGGTTACATATATTTTCAAAACACTGTTATGCACACACATCATTTACAAGCATAATACACTGCTCCTCCTATAATGGAGCCTGGTGTAATTTGAGTGGGAGAACAAATAAATTCCTCCTGCTTTATGTGGTAGACTGTGAGAGATTGTTTTTTTTTTTTTTTACTCCCCTTCTTCTTTTCACAGAGTGATATGATCATAGAAACATGAAGCAATCAATATCGTGTGCTCTCCTTTCTTCCTGTCCTCATCATTAACCAACGCTGATGAAATGAACGAAGGGCACCGTGACATTAATATGTCATTTGAGTAATGCAATCATGAGGTGACCTAATTGCCCCCCCATCCCCCACCACCGCACACACCCTTTTCCATGGAGGTCAGAAGCTCGGCGCTGTACCAAGGATGACTAAGGAGTCAGATGTGGAAGCTGAGGGATTCTGTATTTTAATGATTTATTCGGCTCTTGTTGTTTTCCCGTTCAGCGCACAGATACAATGCGAGCGGAACAAAAGCCCCGCTGACACTGACCATCTGACCACCAAACCCACGCTGCAGCTACTGGCAGATGCAGGGACGGGCATTTCAATCTTACACCCTAAATATCCCTGTCCTGGTACAGGACGGTGAGAAAAGAGCCCACCCTCCAAGTCCAATGGTCTTGTTTACAAGGAGAAACTAAACATCATGTAAAATGAAGGACAGCTTTTAGGGAAGTCTTGACCTCTTCTTGATGAGCCTGGTAGAGAACCATTGACCTCAGAGATGAATAGTGAACATTGTTTGGCGGATTTAAAGGGAGGGAAGTGGATGGCTGCTCCACTATCTGGCCGGACTGTTGACTTCCATGACCAGTGCTAACATTTGTTTAGAGAACTTTTGACCCGCCTGACTTAAGGCGCCATGGCAATCAGAGGGGTCAGGATGGATATCATCATACCTCGGTAAAACTTTTCCGATAACCCTCGGGGAAGTTAATTCTCTTGTTCATCACCGAGTTACTGAGTAAATTTGGCACTTTAGGATAAAAAGAAGGCACATTTGATGAATTGCAAGAGAAAATACAATGTGCAAATGACATGTGCAACTACAGAAAATATCGGTACGGAAAGCCACATTTGCACTTTCCTTTTTTTTGCCTCATGTTTGCAAATGCAGCGTGTGTACACAGATTTTCCATCCTTGGATTTCTGCGCAATGATGTTGCCTTGGAGACGTAGTGATTCAGCCATTAGGCTTATCCCCCCCTCTTTTGTTGAATTGTGTTAAGGTAAGTCAGATGTGTTAGTCTTGTGACCTCAGTCAGCCTTTGGACCTTCACCCCATCACAGCTCTGTTACATCCTCTCTAACGTGGAGCCTGTACTTCACTGCTCTGTACTCTGGTAATTGCTTCTGCTTTTAATGACTAATCCTCTCTCCTCACTGTGGCAAATGATTAACAATTTGTGATCATCAACAAGAAATGGATGATGATTGTCTTGACGTTGAAAATATAAATTTTGGCTTAGCAGTTATCTTTCCGGTAGATTTATGAATATTTTTTTATATACTGGACCAGATAAGCACATTATTCTGCTGTCGCAATCATAAAGGTCATGGAATAAACATCTAGAATCAAAAGAAAAACTGTGTATATGGAGCAGTTGTCACTGTAATAAGTGCGGAACTGGTTTGCATCACATCATTATGGTTAGTCTAGTTTGTTTTCATGCATTGTTAGTAATTTGCAGACTAAGTGCATCTGGAGCATTAATTCTCAGTTGGGTTATACAGTCGCTCTAAAAAGAAAAAAGAAAAGAAAACGCTCAGCAAGCTGTCAGTAATTTGAAAAAAAGGCTTTCTTTATTGTGACAGATCATCATGCCCCAGAGGTTGACATATGTTCCCGCATTGCATGGAAACGATAGCAGCTCCTTTTTATTTGGACTTTGTTTGGTTTAAGAATTCTACACCCAGTCCTTCTCCCCCCGCTGCCACTTTCTCGATTTATTTCATCAGTATTTTATAGGCTTTGTGTTGGGCAGAGGATCCCAACTCTGAAATTGCCTTTTATTGCAACTTACTTAGCCTGTTAATATAGGCTATTACAGAGCCAACATGTTTCTATGGCAACAAAACTGATAAAGTGTACCAGGAGACTGGAGTGATAGATTACATGTGCACGCTGTGTCACATCCAATTAACTCAAACTGACTGTACGCTGCATTATGCCACGACTTTGCGGGAAAATCAATAAATATGGACGGTGCCCAACAAGGTTCCCCCCTCTGTTTCTTTATTTCATCCCTTACGGTGGCAGTGAAGCCAAAAAAGATCATGCCACTAGGATGTCCCTGCTGCTACAAGAGGCAGGTGCTGTGTAGACACCATTCAAAACTTTGCCTATTCAAGTCCAACTCCTCTAACGCTCCATTCATGCATAGCAAAACACCATCTGCTCCTGTTTTGCCCGGAGCAATCACAGCTGACCAAAAGAAAAAAAAAAAGCAAAAAAAAAAAAAAGAAATCCATGATAACAGCTGTTGCCAAACAAAAGCTGAACAAAAGGGAGTGGGAAAAGGTTAGAGACTAGTTCGACACCAAGAATCACTCACTGGATAGGGTGAAGGAAAACATTTACTCTTATTAATAGTTAGGCAAGGAAGTGTCATCCAGCAGAGAGCCGGGGAACGGGTTAAATGTGAGGCGTTCAGTCTGCTGTGTTGGCAGAACTGCAACAGTACATCCAGGATCAGGTGATAATAGATTCAAGCTGAGGATGATTCTTTCACACAGTCGGTTTCGAGGGTGCGGGAGCAGAGGCAAATGAGCCATGGCGTCCCCTCTGAGTGTGTGAGTAAACTGTCTGAGGCAGATG